AAATGCTACTAAGATGGCTCCCCAAGGTAAACCAATCTTCCAAAATTAATGAATTGATGGAATCATCACTTTGTTTCTAAAATAATCCAGGAATGCAATTTCTTCACTTCTGTTGCAGATAGAAGTTAAAAAAAAAAAAAAAAAAAAGACTGAGGGCACCCACATACCTTGACAAAAGCAAAACTTTCCATTGATTCTCCTGATTTTCTCCCCTATCTTACAAGCTTAGCTTTGAATCCTTGGAGAAGCTGGAGGTCAGTGGAACAACATGGCAAAACGGAGAGACACTGGTGTTGAAGTTGGGAGACCCTGGATCCAGTTCCCACTCTGCCTCTGACCAGCTTTGTGACTTGTGACAAGTTACTGACCTTCTCCATCTGGGTTTCGTCTTGTATGATGCACGTGTGCAGAACCATTATGTACGACAGACAGGCTGCTTCAGAAGCTGGTGACCTATTTGTCACCATCAGGAGAACCCCGAAGCCTGATTGGCCACTTGGTGGGCCTAAGGACTAGTGTTTGTCTAATGTTTTCAGATGTCATGAGGCTCTCTCAATAGGTGTCACTTCATATGGTGACCAATGACAATCCAATCAAGGAGATATCTCCATCCCCATTGTTAAAGACCGGATGGGAGAACAAAGTCCCTTGGCCAAGCTCATGGCACAGCGATCAGAGGTGAAAAACTTCACCCCAGACCTGGCTGATGCCACGTACAGTGCCTCACCAGGACACGGGCTGCTCCTCTGTCAGGAGGAGATTCCCGAACCAGGGAGCCGACTGGCACATGGTTTCTAGATCCCTTCTGATTCTAAGAGTCCGTGCTTCTCTCAATATAATGAGGGGGATGGAGTAAACCAACAACGTTAAAAAGAGTCTGTGCTCTCAAATGAAATCTCCTGTAGAAGGCCAAAATATGAAATAGATAATTGCTTCCACCCAGATGTCCATCAAGTGACAAACAGATAATAAAATAGAATATACCCATATAACGGAATATTATTTGGCCGTAAAAAGGAATAAGGACTGATACATGCCACAACATGGGTGAACTTTGAAAACATGCTAAGTGAAAGAAACCAGACACAAAAGACTGCACACTGCATGATTCTACTTATATGACGTGTCTGGAATAGGTCGATCCGGAGACAGAGAGTAGGTTGGGGGAGGTAGGAATGAGGAGTGGCTGCTTCATGGGTACAGGGTTTCCTTTAGGGGTTGACATTTTGGAAGCAGTTAGATAGGGGTGGTGGTTGCATAACACCGTGACTGTACTAAGTGCCATGGAATTTAAATAGTTAATTTTATGCTATGTGAATTTCACCTCCATATATGGGTGTATACGCACAGATATATGATATTTCCAGAGTCCCACCCCATCAGCCTCCCCCTTCGCATGTCCCTACAATGCCTCCAAAGAACCCTAATGTGTAAATCAGAATCACTTCATATTACAAAATGTTGTCATAGTTCAGACAGCTATTTTATTCCTTCAGGGGCCAAAGGTATTTTTCCTTAATCCAACAAATAAATATGCCTGGGCCAGTAATATCTTGCTACTCAGAAATGGAACCTTCCATTGGCAAACAGCTCCAATGTCCACAGTGGTCCCGTAGCTTCAGTTTTAGGATACGTAACTCAGAATTCTACTCTAAGTATACCCAGAAAGATAACAATAGCTAAGCTTTATTTTTTGGTGTTTTCTTCTCATATTTTAGTAGATTGTTTTATTTTGAGTGGTGAGCTAAGCATGATTAAGTGGCTACTCTGAATAGTTTTTCATGTTGTTTCATTTAAATGCCATTTTATAGAAAAGGACACTGATAATTTTTTCATTATAAAATTTTATAATTTTATAGAAAAGGACACAGCTCTGCAACAATCCTGAGGTCAGAACTTAAAGCTCATCCCTTCGAGCTCAGGAGAAAGCCTCCAGCTAGGCCAGGAAGGGTACGTGCAGTCACCAGCTCCTGTGCCCAAGGAAGGCACGAGGGCCACTTTCAGTCCCACCAGGAAAGTGACCCCAGCCTGTCAGCCCCTGAGGTGTGTGAAGATGCCTGATGCATGGACACACGTCCCCTCGGCACCTTCCCAGAGAAGTTGAGAGGCACGAAGAGGTCAGGACCTCTATCTACCATTTCTCCTCAGCGTATATGGGGACAGTGAAGACCCACCTCAGTGGTCGCGCTGACAACATGTGCTCAAGGACGAAGTATCGAGGGACACTGCAGACCCTCGTTTGCTAAAGAGTTGTAGGGAAAGGCTAGAAAATCATCTGTTTTTAAAGGTTTAGGTCATGGACGCCTGGGTGGCTCAGCCGGTTGAGCGTCCGACTTCAGCTCAGGTCACGATCTTCGCGGCTTGTGAGTTCGAACCCCGCATCCGGCTCTGTGCTGACAGCGTGGAGGCTGCAGCCTGCTTTGGATTCTGTGTCTCCCTCTCTCTCTGCCCCTCCCCTCCTCACATCCTGTCTCTCTCTCTCTCTCTCAAAAATAAATAAACGTTAAAAAAATAATAAAAATAAATTAATTTAAAAAAATAAAGGTTTAGGTCAGATCCTATTTAAACACAAGACACTCTGGTTTCTAAAGCTCCCTCCCATCCTAGAAGTCTCTGTGACATCATTTTATGCACAGTGACACGGTGTCTGATTTGGACACATATGATTCAGCATTACTACACTGGGCATTTTCTGTGGGCATAAGTATGGTGCTTTTTCAAGTTATTCTGAAACATTTCTACACAGAGGTGTTGAGGATAATTTTAGCCTTTTTTATCTGCATGGTAAAGTTACCAAAATGGTAATAATAATTCTTTACATACAAATGCACTTTACGGATTACAAAGTACTTTCAGGGACGATCATTACTGTGTTTTTTTTTTTTAAAGGTGAAATTTAGGAAAATTATCAGTAAATGACATTTGGCTTATTCATATACCCTCTTATATTCTAGGTAAGAAAAGAGGGAGAGGAAAGATTTATATTAGAATTGAGGTCAGGTTCTAGAAATTTTACCTATTCCTGGTTATCAATTTTTAAAAGAGCCAGTGCTCCTTCAGTTAAAACAAGGTTCTGCTACTTATGATTGGTAAGCTGCAAATGTCTTGCCCAACCTTCCTGTGGTCCCGTGCCCCATCGCTATTAAATTTTAGTTGTGCAGCTCACAGAGATGATCCAGAATGCCAGGTGTGGGTAAACAAAACTAAACAAAACGGAACACAAAAAAACTGAAACAACAAGAAGAAAGCTAATCACGTTTCAATATCACTTAATGTGAAAATACAGTGATGCTTTTATATCTTTTCCTGTTTTTCATGGCCACACAATGGCCCCTGGATTTGTTCACACACACACACACACACACACACACACACACACACACACACACAAATCAGGCTGCTAATGTGTCAAGGTCATCTTCAAAGAGCTGTACCGGCGTGCCATACTGACGTGGATAGCCACTGAAACCTCCCCACAGTGCCACACAATCTCCCAAGACCTAACCTCTATCAGGGAGATCGATAACCCTTAGAGAGTAGATGTTCAAGGAATGAGTTTATTGCAATTAATCTGACCAAACTGCAATCCACCTGCTGCCTTTCCTTCGGGATGGCGGAAGAAAGCAGTCACGTGCTCATACGAATGGACACGTTACCCATGGTGTTGGGGCCACACCCAGGATGCGGCAGAGCTGACAGGCCACCACTTTGAAGCTCTAATTGGCCGAAGCCACACCCGGCGGGACCGGCCCTCCGAACTGCAGGTGAATGTTCTCGGCCAGGTCTTGCCAACAATGGCAATCTGTGCTTCCCACGGAGAAGAACGCCCCAGAGGAACACTCAACCGAGCAGGCACCATCCAGCCTGACTCAGAATATGACAAATGCTCCTACAGAGTGACATTTCCTGCCAGGCAGTGGCACTCAACCTTGACTGCACGGTAGAATCACCTAGGGAACCTAAAATACTTCTGTGGCCAGCCCTCCAGCCCAGGCTCATTAAAATCGGCGTCTCTAGAAGCGGGGGCCCTCACACTGGTATTTATGAAAGCTCTCCAGATGGTTCTAACATGCAGCCAAGGGAGAAGCACCAGTGCAGAATATTCTAGCACTGTCTGGGCTTGAGCCCAGCTGGTGAGGTGCTGCAGGAGAGGAACTCGCAAAACACCACTTGCTTAGGAAAGGGAAGTCCATGCTCCCTGAGGTCTCGAGCCACAGCTGACAAGTGCTTTATTTGTCTGCGGGCATTTAGGTCAAGCTGATTTGTTGGGGGGACAAGGAGGGCTTTGATTTTTTTGCCTAAAACAAGCATGACGATATTTACTTTGCGAGAGCCAGGAATTTGATAAAAACAAAACAAAATACCCAAATGAGATGCTGTTCATTTCTGGGGTGATTCCGGGGAGGGAGGGGTGGGGCACATACTCTTACCAATGCCCCAACTGGGGTAACGCACCCTGGAGCCAGTGGGATGGAAAAGAACAGTAACTGTAAAGAATACAGAACTCCCAGAACTTCAAGTGGCCCTGCAAACGTTGAAACCAAAAACCTATCCTGCAAGAGTATAAACATCAGGAAGAAAGTGAAAAGGGAAACGATTTTTATCACGTCCAAGCAACCTATGGCCCTCTCCTTGGTTTTGTTTCACTCTCTCCCTATGTTTGGGCATTTCCAAGAAAAGTTCTACGTGAACAGTGGTGGGTGAGAGGAGATTCCACCTCAGGGGAAAGTGGGTTCGTAGAAGAGACTTTCCAGATTCAAATAACAGTCAGCTAAAAATTCATCAGCTGAATCCCAAACGTTGGATTCATATACAAGTCTCCATCTCCTGATTGCAAGTCACTATATTTGGAGGCTGATGTCCACAAATGAAAATGTGATGGGTGAGATTGTTTAATGTGTAAATCGCACTCCAATGTTACAATGTTCTAAGGGAACTTAGCTGCTTGGGACGCTGCCAGCAGAGTTGATAGAAATGAATGATATAAAAAATATACTCACTGGTTCTCTCTTTTCTTCTTAAGTGGGTCCATCAGGCGTAGTGTGTCTCTGATCACGGCCACCTTCACTTCTTCATCGACAAGGCTGGGGACATTTTCAAAGACCCCCGGAGAAAGCTTGAATGGGTAAGGATTCAGTGTTACAGTGGAGAGTGATTCAGTACCAAGTACCTATTAGCACTGGCTCCAGTGGTTGTACTGTTAGGCTTTGCTTATGTTCATCTACAGAAGGTAACTTTTTAAAGACTCCCTTTATGTTACTTTTACAGTGTCAGTTTCCTTTAACAAATCAACAAAATATGTAAAGCAGAAATACATACATACATAAGGAGCACTATGTCTTTCTAGTTATCAAAATCATACGTGCTCGCTGTAGAAAACTTGGAAATATAGAAGGGGTTAAGAAAATAAAAGAAATCCACATACTCCCCCCAAAACACAATATTAGTATTTGGTGTGTTTCCTTCCAGTCTTTTTTTATGCACTAACCACTGTTGAATGTGCTATTTATGTTAGTGATTCGAGTATGTCGACATGGCTAAATCATATTCCTAGAATTTCAATTAGTTCATCTCCTGAGGCTAACTAATTAGTTCACGTCAAAACTGATGGAAAGGTTCAGCTGCCTCTATGTCTGCAGACCTTAAAAATTGGAAGAATGGCATGCTGAGAAGTTACCAGGGGTCGGAGAGGTCTTATATTTATAGACTCTGTTCAGAGCTCCACAAAACTGAAACTATTTAGACTGGAACAGAAGTTCACTGTGCAAATCTGAGAATGCTGAACCTTGTTTAGCCGAGTGAACAGCATGAGAGGGCACGTGCAGTTGTATGGCAATATATTCAACGAGGCGTTCAAAATACTTACTTCTTGCTCATGTTCGATTCTCATGCTGGGATTTGCATTCACTTCCAGGAGAATAGGCTTCAGATTTTTCATCAGAAGGATGTCAAAGCCTAGAATCTGGGTAGGATACACATAATTCAAGATTACTCCCTCTAGCTACAATTTCTTTTCAGGAATCAGTATGGTGTTAGGGTCATTAAGGTGACAATAAGTTCAAACTTGGCCCCCAACCTGAGCCTTGACCCTGGCTTCTCTTGTCCATGGCCCCTCTGCCCCTGGGTGTTCTTGTCAGGCTAAATGGACAGCAGAAAATTTCACAGGAACCTTGATGATGGGATGAGTTCTCCTGGTGCATTTCGGCAATATCGGTGACCTCTTTCTTCCTTAACAGGTTTTTTATTATGTTGAGGATCAGTAGTGCCCATCAATTTCTCCCTCTCCATCTGCTCTCCTCTATTAAGCTGCTTCTTAGCTAGATCTCTGAAAACCCAAGGCTACCTTTCATAACCTCAGATGTCCATCAGTATCACTTAAGGAGCCCTTTCAAAACCACCACATATCCCCCAGCTCACACCTACAAGTCAGAATCTTTCAGAGTAGAACCCAGGCAAACTAGTTTTGAAAAACAGTGCCCCCCTGCTCCCCACCCCAGTGATTTTGAAAGACGCTCCTTAGCTAAGGAAAGGGAATATTTATTAGGCACCAATTACTCCACGATGCACCAATTATTCATAATCTCGTTTAGTCCTCGTGATGGTGTGTTTGAAGGAAGGATCCTGCTCTCCATTTTCCAAAAGCAGAAACTGAGTCTCACAAAGGCCAATGGATTTCCCCAAGCTCGCCTAGTGAGTAAGTGACAGAGTTGGATTTCATACCCACAGAAGGCTGGCTCCAGAATTTGTGGGATCCAGTGCAGGATGAAAACACGGTGGGGAGGGGGAGACTTGTTCAAAAAGTACTGACAATTTCATGATGGTGGCAGCAGAGCATTAAACCAAGCACGGAGCCCTTCTGAGCACAGAGTGCTGTGTCACTGCACAGACCCACACACAAGGCTAACCCCAACACCATGTGTCCTTGACACCCTCCCTTCCATCCAGCGTGCTGCTTTAGGTGAGGCTTCGTCTTTGGCTTCCTCCAGTTCCTCACAAGCCCTAGGATGGGGTAAGCTACCCTGTGCATCTTTCCCTCTGCCTGAAACAACCCTTCACCTGCAATAACATCTCCCGATCCTCAAAATCACTGGTTCTAATTAGATTCAGACTCAAACCACAAGGACGTCAGATTCTCGGGAGGACTCTCCTTATCTCTCTAGGAGGTGATAAGGTAGAAAGCTTCTGACATAATTGACACAGTCCCAAAGTTTCAAAAAATAAAGTGGAGAATAAAGGAGAGAAAAAGAAAAAGATACAGCTGTATCCTCTCCTCTGTGGATCAAGCAGAAAAGATGAAGGGAAACCCATTTACTTGTCTATATAGAATGTGCATTAGTCAGACGGTAATTATCCAACTGTAGCCTCATTCTTATTAATGAAATCAGAGCCCGAATGACCATTTTTGGGGGTAATTCAGGATGAGGTTATTCTTCAGTGAAGGGCAATGAGGATGAGAAGTTGGAAAAAGTCACCCTTGCTCTATTTTTCTTTCCCTGGTCATGAAAAGAAAGGAATGGAAATTCAGTAGAAAATGTTACATGCATTATAGATCCACTTAATAATATATGGCAAGTGGCTATGAGTGATGAGGCCTTTAGAAGACTCTGGTGACATCATCAGTCTAACTGCAGACCGGGGCTGAGGCATGTGGTGTTGATGAGGCTACAGAGAACAGCGGGCTGTGGTGCCTGCATTTATCATCCTTAGTCATCAGCTGCTTTCTGCTACATCTTAGAAGCTTGGACTCGCTCTTTCTCAGCTTGGTGGGCTCTTTCAGTTCAATGAACAGTGGTTTCCTGAAAATAAAGCTATAGGAAAGCTGGAGAAGGCAAAACCTCAACAGCCATACTGATCTGCACCCACCAATGGCATGGTATTTTCTAGAACCTAAACTTGGGTGAATGTCGTTGAATATGTAGGGTCTTGTACAGAAATGCTTTGGAGTCAGAAATAACTTGGCTCCAATCCTACCTCTGTTTCTCGCACTAGCTAGACAACTCTAGGTGCAGTGCATAGCCTCTCTGAACTTCATATACCTCATGAAAAATGAGAGCTGATGATAGCTACCTTGCAGAGTAGCTGATGATGGAAGCAAAAAGCACCTATGACTAGGCTCATCATGTAGGAGGTACTCAATATATGACAGTTCCCTTTGCAGTTTCCTACCGATCCCACCAACAAGAAATGGCATTATGTGGCTTTAGAGTCCAGAAGAGCTCATTTCAAATCCTAGCTCTGCCTTTAATGTGCATAACTATGGGCAAGTTACTTAGCAACTCTAAGCCCCAGTTTCTTCATCTGTAAAATGGGAATAAGAATAGTACTTACCTTAGTTCATTAATTCAAAAAAATATTTATTGAGTGCTTTCCTATATCCCAGGAACTATTCTACCTTCTAGAAATATAGCAGTGGACTAGACGAGGTCCCTGACCCCATGGAGCTTACAATCCAATAAATAGTGGGGAGCCAAGACCAAATAAAGATAATGCAATGTAAAATATTTTGCACAGTGCCTGAAACATAGTAAGTATTTAATAAAGGTCATTATTATATTTTTTTCATGAATTCAAGGAAATATAGACTTTCTTTTCAAAAGTTCAATGAAATATGTAGCACCAGTGGATCTCAATAAACAGAATAACGGAACTGGGAGGAGCTTAGAGTTGATCTTGTCATAAAATTCTGGAATAGAGCTGGAAAAAAATCAGGAATTTGGTCCAGTGTTTTCCAAAATGGGGTTCTTTTCTGGGGAAGCACTGGGGAGGCTAGATCAAAGCCACTTTTACCTATCTCATATACTGGATCCCCAGAGAAGAAAGCTTTATATATATATACATATATGTGTGTGTGTGTGTGTGTGTGTGTGTATAAAATATAATGTATAATATATATAATATGCATATATAAATAAAGCTTTCTTCTCTGGGGATCCATATATACATATATATACATGTACATATATATATATACACATATATATATACACATATATATGTGTATATATATATATATATACATGTATATATATATTTTAAACTCCGAATTTAGTCTAACAGCCACTTTATGCAGATCATAAAAGCAGCTTAGAAAGGAGAAAACCTCCCTCCAGTTTGGTGGCAGAGCAAGAATTGTCAAAAGGAGAGAGAGAACTTTTCAGTCACATGATACTCTGCCCTCATGCAAGCAATTATGTGTTGCACACCTCCTACTCGAGGGGTACCCTGGGGATTCAAAGTTATCTGTCTTTCAGCCCTTTTAGAAGCTTCCAAAACAACCTGGGAAGAAAAGGATCCTGCACCATTACTTGTAAACTCATGCCAAGGTCCAAGCTACGTTCCAATGAGGGGGGATTCTCTCTTGAACCCTAGAACTACACACCCATCTGTATCCAGAGTAGTCCCAACTGGGAGGTCCCAGAGTCCTCAAATTCAACATATCCAAACTCAGTATCACTATCCAAACTCACTAGCCTCTAAAATGGTCTCAATGACCCCCACCTCGTGGCAATCATGCCCTTGTGTAATCCCTTTCCTTTGAGTGTGAGCTGCACCTAGTGACTTATTTCTAAAAAACAGCATAGGGCAGAAATGATGGGATGTCACTTTCAATATCAGATCATAAGAAGACCAGGGCTTCCATCTTGGAAGGCCTTCTCTTATTCTCTTGCTCACACACTCTGAGGGAAGCTGGCTGCTACGTTGTGGACTGCCCTCCTGGAGGCACAGGTGACAAGGAACTAATGTCTCCAGCCAACAGCCAGGGGGTGCTGAGGCCTACCCCCAGGCTTCTTCCCCAGTCAGGCCTTGAGGTGACTATAGTCATTGCAGCCTTGTAGGAGACTGAACCAGAGGGAGTCCCCGAAGCCTAGATTCCCGATCCACACACACTGAATGATAATAAATGTTTGTGAGTTTAAGCCGCTAAACTATTACTTTGGGAGTAATTTATTACACAGCCAATTGATCATTAATACAGCACCTTTCTCTAAAATCGACTTTGCCTCCTGTATTCCTTATCCACCCAATTACACAAGTTAAAACTTTCTCCTTCATCTTTTACATCTAGCTGCTCCCCAACTCGTGTACATTCTGCCTCCTGAAGAGCTTTCCAGAGCTGGCCCATCCTCACCGCTCCTGGCCTAGATCAGGTCTGCACCAGCTCTCACCTGGACTAATTTAATAGCTTTCCCATTCATTTCCCTGCTTTCGATCTCACACATCTAGTTCACCTGGCACAAGGGGCTGCCAGAGTAATTTTTCTAAAATGCAAACAGAGTATTAGCATTCCTCTGCCTAAAATCCCTGCCTGCAGAATGAAGGCCTAGGTCCACGGCATGTCCTACAAATTCCTCTATGACCTGACATCTGTCTCACATTCCAGCCTTATTTCCTCTCCCTCCCCCCCTGCACATCTTGGGCTGTAATTGTGCTGAACTATTAGTAGTTCTAGGATGCTTTACTGCTTTCTCCTTTATACTCTTCTGCCTGGAAGACAACTTTACTGATGAAATATTTACTGAGCACCTACTAAATACTCAGTACTATTCTAGGCCCTGAGGATAAACCAGTGAACAAGACAAATGAGTGTGATATGGTAGGTGGAGGGGAGGGTTGGTGGTTTAGAAGGATAACTAGGGAAGGTCTTGTCATCCCATCGTCTTCTGGCTTCCACAGTTTCTGATCAGAATAACTTTTTGGTTATTCTTTGTTCCTCTGAACATAAGATTTTTTTTTTTATCACTGGCTTTCCACAATTTGATTCTGTTAAGCTTTGATGTGTTTGTGTGTGTGTGTGTGTGTGTGTGTGTGTGTGTGTGTCCTCCTTGGAGTTTCTTGAGCTTCTTGGATTGCAGATTTCTAGTTTTTTCTCAAATTTGGAAATCTGGGGCTATTTCTCCAAAAAAAAAAAAAAAAGTCTTTCTGCATCTTCTTTGTCTCTTCTGCTCAGGGAGCTCCAATTAT